AAAAAAAAAGGAAGTAGTTAGATTATTTAAGAAATTGTGTGATCAATACAATGTGGGGGGGAAAGGAATGGAAGACAACTGTAGACATCAGAGATAGTGTGAGAAGAGGGTGGGAAAGGACAGAGTGTCAGAAATAGGGGTAAAATAAAATACTAGAAACTAGAAATGGAAAATTTTTGATAATAACATGCATGATTAATCCACTAAGTAGTATATTCTGGATGGGAAATCACATTCTGTATGTTGTGATGATGCTTAGGAAATGAATGTAAATTAAGATTAAAAAAGAAAAGAAAAGAAAAGGTTCAGAAAAAAAAGGAACTAAAGCTGTTTTTCTTGAAATTAAAAAAAATGCATTAAAAATACCTATTCGATGCCTGCAGTAATATCTATAGCCCCAGGTAGGTGCTACTTTATAGGATGTTCATTCTACACACTGAGGCCTATGCCTAAAGTTGGACTTGTGTTCGTGGAAAATCTCTCCAAAACAAAAATTTACTAGAGAGAGAGAGACTGAGAGACAAAGATAGAGAAAATGAGAAAGCAAGCCACCAGATCTGGGACTCAAACCACAGTTGGCAATTTGAGAGTTCAGCACCTTTTTTTTTTGAGAGGTTTTTGCTATAGGGCGCGTGCGCTCGCCAGACAGACAGAGAGATAGAGAGATAGAAAGCGAAAAATCACCCCCCAGGGGGGATGGTCATGCCGCAATCCCTTCTTCTCCTCCATTCTCCTCTCGGGATCTTGGGCACGCACGCACACATACCCAGCGTGAGTTCTAAGCCACCGGGTCCAGGACGCGAACCACAGTCAACTACGTGGGAGTCCAGTGACATAGCCATTACACTAACTGCTGGTTCCCAAGAGTTCAGCACCTTAACCACCATGCCACCTGCTGGCCTCCTCTTTTCTTTTAAAACTACTGGAAAATATAATCCATGAAAATAAGAAAATAAATCAGGCACAGGCTGACTCAATACCCAAGACATAGGGAATCTAGTATAGGAATTCTAAAATTGGGTCAAATTTTCTGGAGGGCAGTAGGAATATCTGGAGAGGAACGGGACAGAGAAAGGTCTTCATCACATAGCCAAAACTAACTAAAATGGAAAATGCAGGCTAATTCACTGAAGGTGGATAAATTATTTGACAGGATAATTATTTAGAAATTTGAAATGCTGTGGGAAGATGTGAAAAGATATTACAATAGGTATAATGAAAAAAAATAAAAATTGAAGCAAATAAAATAAAAAGAAATACAGTTATTGGGACCAGCAGATGGTATAATGGTTACATCACTGGACTCCCACATAGGTGATTGCTATTACACTGTGTCCCAGAGCCAGTGTCTTAAAACTCATGCTGCACATGTGTGCATGCATGCCCAAAATCTCTAAAAAAAGAAAAAGAAATACAGTCACTACTTAACCTATAAACTTAATATGTACATATCTATAATAACAAACAATTACAATTGATTTAAATAAATATGATCTTTTTTTTTAGAGACATTTTGCTTGGGTGCATGCACTCACCAGAGAGACAGAGTCAGAAAGAGAGAAATCCCCAGGAGGGATAGCCACACCTCAATTCCTTCTCTATTCTCCTCTCAAGATTTTGGGCATGCACACACGTGCCCAACATGTGGTTTAAGTTGCCAGGTCTGGGACTTGAACCACTGTCGACTACATGGGAATCCAGCTATGTAACCATCATGCCGTCTGCTGGTCCCTAAATAAATATAATCTAAATATATGTGAAGGAAAGAATAGGGATGTGGTATAAAAAAACTAAATTTGGGGGACCAGTAGGTGGCAGAGTGGTTAACGTGCTGGACTCCCACACAGTTGACCATGGTTCAAGAACTGGACTCAGTCTGAAATCTTGAGAGGAGAGTGTAGGAAAAGGGATTGCAGAGTGGCCATCCCTGGAGATTGATTTCTCACTTTGCACCCGTCTCTCTAGCAAACACACATGCCCTATCAAAAACCTTAAAAAAAATACATCAATTTTGTGGCCTGAGAGAAGAAGTCAGCAGTTTATGTCTAAAATTGGAGAATCAGGAAGTGACAATAAAAACATTACTCAAAATATATGGAAGTAAATAACAGGAAAAAAATAACTAAAAAGTTGAATGGTTTTGGTGCACTCAGGCAGGGGGTTAGGGCAGGGAGAATGATTTGTGGAGAAAGGGTGGAGCAGAGTGCTGAGAACCATATGATAGAATAAGGATGTAACCAAGAGAAAAATGAGGTTGAATGTGGAAACACATTGCACAGCAACCAGTTGGGACAGTCTTGGGAGTATGAAATCCGTAACACTGAACTGAGATCAGCATGGGAAACTATGTAGATCATTCATCTCAAGACAGACCCAACAGGAAGGAATCTATGCAATGTCCCCACCAAGAACCATAGGATTGTTTGTTCCAGAGCCTGCCATATCTCATGTAGCATAGAGAAAACATTCACCTTACTCCCTGCTTAGGAGAGTTTAAATGGTCTGTAAAATAAAGTGTGTGGGCTCTCACTGCTTCAAGTTCTGAGTTCCCTCTTCTCATACTTTTGTGTCTGTCTCTTTATCCTCTGTCCCAATTGTTCACCTTGTTTACCAGACTGGTTCCAGCACAGAGGACTGCATGATTCTCACTTAAATATTTTTAGTGGAGCTGGCAGGTGGCGTGGTGGTTAAGGGTTCTGGATTCCCACATGGCTGACCATGGTTTGAGTCCTGGACCTGGTGGCCTGCTGTCTCTCTCTCTCTCTCTTGCTCGCTCTGTCCTGCTCTGGTCAAATTTAAATAAATAAATAAAGTTAAATTAAATAATTCTTAAAAAATATTTTTAGTTCTATTTGTTATATTGTAAAAATTATTTATTTATTATCTGTATTATTATTATTTTGGGAAGAGAGATTTTAGCTACAGGGCATGTGCGCTTCCAGAAAGACAGAGAGATAGAAAGTGAGAAATCATCCCCCTGGGGGGATGTCCACTCTGCCTGCTCTTCCATTCTTCTCCTGGGATCTTGGGCGCACCAGTGTGAGTTTGAAGCCACTGGGTCTGGGACTCAGCCAGGCCTTGTGGAAGTCCAGTGACTCAACCATTATGCCATTTGCTGGTCCCTTACTATTATTACTTTTGAATTGTAGCTATAGAGTACATGCACTCACCAGAGAGAGATGGAAAAAGAGAGGAAACAGAAAGTGAGAAAGCAAGCTGCCAGGTCCAGGACCTGAACTACCATGTGGGAGTCCAGTGCCCTAACCACCACATCACCTGCTGGCCCCTCTGTTTGATATTTTTAAACCACATGTGCAGACTACTTTGATAAGTAAAACAATAAAATGGTTGGATCCATCCCATTGGAAATGCGTAAGAGTACGATAGTCTCCTCTCTCCACGAACCACACAGGATGCTTTACCCTTGCTAAAGTGGAAGTGGATTTCTTCTCCTGGCCTCGGTTTCCTCAGGGATACTGGAGTCTCTGTCTCTGACAAGGGTAGATCGTAGAATTCGTACTCCACATACACCCGTTCGATGTTCTCATCGGACATCACTTCGGCCTCTGGGTAGAAGGCCAGGGAGACAATTTCAATACACATCTTCTCTGAATCCTGGTAAGGAAAATATTTATTTTCTAAAGGTTAGTGAGGCTCCAAATGTTTATACCCCACCAATTAACACATTACTTTCTAGGAATCGTCACGTGTAGTCCTTCTAATAAATCACTCTGGACAATCAATTTACAGGTAAAACTGGGGCTCAGAGACGACTTGGCTGAATTGCCACCACTGATCTCTGGGGAAATGTGGGAAGAACTCAACTGTCCTGTCTCCCAGCCCGGTGAGACACTTCTCCACACCAGCCTTTCTCAGCCCTCTTCATGCTCGTTAGGGGTGTTTTCATCATGGCACTGTTTTTACTATCGAAAGATCGAATACTACCACAATGTACACTAATAGCAAATGGTTGAATAAATTGCAATACATTTATTCTATAGAATAGTATATAGTCTTAAAAAGAAATACATAGATCTGTTACCTCAAATTTAAAAGTTGAATAAAAATAATTAATTTTTTTTTTTTTTTAGTTTGCCAAAAGGTGAGTGCACTCATCAGAGGGAGACAGAGAGAAAGCCCTCCCCCAGCTGTAGGCATGGGCGCACTATAATCCCTTTCCTCCTTTCTTTTCTCCTTTGAGGATTTCAGGCATTCACCCACACACACTGGTGTGTTTCTCAAGTAGCCAGGTCTGGGACTGAAACCACACTATCGGCTCTATGGGATTCGACCACCTTAACCACCAGGCCATGCGCTGGACTTCAGATCATTTTTATAAAATAGTTTATGTTAAAACAAAATTAGTGAGGGACCAGCCGATGGCCTAATGGCTACGTCGCTGGACTCCCATGTAGTCAACCGCAGTATTTGAGTGCAGACCCAGTGGCTTAAACTCCCACTGGATGCATGCCCAACATCCCAAGAGGAGAATGGAGGAAAAGGGATTGCAGTGTGGCCAACCCCCCTGGGGGGGGAGGAAACTTCACGCTTTCTATCTCTCTATCTCTCTCTTTCTGGCAAGTGCATGCACCCTATAGCAAAAACCTCCCTCCCCCCCAAATAAATAGGACCAGCAGATGGCAGAGCAGTTACATTGCTTGACCCCCACATGGCCAACCACGGTTGGAATCCCAGACCTGGTGGCTTGAAAATTACATCGAGCATGTGAGGTGTGCCCAAGATCCCAGGAGGAGAACAGAAGAGAAGGGGTTGTGGTGTGGTCATGTCACCAGCAGGTGATTCCTCACTTTCCCTCTCACTGTATCTGTTTCTCTCGCCTCACCCTAAGAAAAAACCTCTCAAAAAAATAAATAAATAAAATAAAATAAATTTAAAAATTAAAAAATTAGGCAGATCTGAATACAATGACATTCAGAGATGTCCAAGATAGACTGAAGGTGATTTAAAAAGGGGAAGACAGTATGGTATGATTCCATGTATATATCTACATACGCATCAATTTCTGAATTATATGAATAATGTATATATATTACACGAATGTGTACGTTCGCTAAAAGGATGCAAAAAAGACTGTTAACAGGGATACAGGAGTGGGTGGAGGTGGGGGGAGGGATTAAGCAAATTGGGTGAGAGAACTTTTCTTCCCTTTATGCACCTATCTACTTGTATTTTAACTTTTAAAAAAATTTTGTTAGAGGGTGCATGCACTCGCCAGAAACAGGGAGAAAAAGAGAAGGGAGCAGCTCATAGCGGGAGCGGAGAACGATGAGCTTGACAGATACGGTCTTGAACAAAGTGAAAGAGAAAATGGAGAATGCAAGGGCCAAAGAGAAGGGCAAGGAGGAGGAGCAGGGCAGGACCCACAATGGCAGAGAAGAGGGTGATCAATCGGGGAGACCAAGAGAAGAGAGACTGCTACCAATTACCCCCAGAGGGGCTGCGCTCCTTATGTTTTAGAAGATGTTTGTGTTACTTATTTTTGTTTGTTTGTTTTAATTTTTTTTATGACTAGTCCATTTTCTCTGTCTTTTTTTTATAAATTGGGTAACAAAGGAGGATAACCAGGACACATGGGATAGTCTTAGTTTGAGAGGGTCCTGGGAATCTTGGATCTGTCATGTTGATGTTTTTGTCTTTATTTGAGAGTGGTGTAGCCAGACTAGGATGGCATTGACCTTGACAGTGGTGACTCGCGTAGAGTCTTCTGGTTGGAATGAATGGACAGGTCTGAGGCGGGGACAAGCAGAGTGTTCGAACATGGTGGTGAATGGCCTTTTGGGTTGAATCAAGGGCCTGTAAAAGTTTGAGTAAAGTATAGTTACGGATTTTAGTTTTTACTATTTTTTTTTTATTTTAGGAGGAGAGGTTAAGGTCTTTTAAACATAATTTTATAAGGGGATTTTTTTTTCTTTTTAGTATAGAGTATATATGGCTATTTAGATTAGGCATAAAGTATTTTTTTAAACGAGTTTAGCAATTTTTGTGTTTTTTAGTTGGGTAATTTGGCATTTTTAATTTATGATGACTTGTCTAAGGGCCTTGGGGACTAATGGCCTGTCATCTAGTAATAGTAATCATTTTTTTGGGTTTTCTTGTAGTCTATTGTTTATGGGCCAATTTTTTTTTTTTTTTTTTTTTTTTTTTGAGTATAGGAGGGTGAGGATGGGAGGACAGAGTCCGGCGTGGCTACAAGAACTTTTAGTTATTGGTATATATGTCTTTTTTTTAGTTAGGTCTTATAATTTTTTTGTGTGACATAGTTAACTTTTTTATTATTTTTTATGACTGTACTTTTAGAAATAACTTTAACCTCTGATTTAGACAGAAATTCATCTTAGTCACTTTAATCGTTATTTGAGGTTTGTCTAGTGAGATTGTCACATGTCTAAGGGGAGTCATTGGGGTCTTGGGCCTCACCAATTTTTAGTCTCAAAGGCCAGTATGAACTTTATTTATTTATTTATTTATTTATCCATTCTCCTCTCGGGATCTTAGGCATGCACGCACATACACCCGGCATGAGTTTTAAGCCACCAGGTCTGGAACGCAAACCACGGTCAACTACATGGGAGTCCAGCCACATAGCCATTACGCTAACTGCTGGTCCCTCCTAAACTTTAGAAGTTCTAAGCTCCTTTCAGAGCTCAGCATGTTTTCTCTAGTGACTAACTCTACACTTGGGGACAAGGCCCCAGTGGGGAACTTGAGGATGTCAGTCATGGGCATTGATTAGTGTCCGGGCTGTTTACAGAGTTTTGTTTTGTTTTGTTTTTTGAGGCAGAGGCTCTGATCTGGGCAGTGTTCAGATCCTGTCCTTGAAGAAATCCCCAGCCTTCAGAATTATTATGAGTGACTACTGGGTAATGTTTAAGTGAGCGTTAGATTAAACATTAAGGTGTCTTGTCAATTTGTTATAATTTTTTTTAGTTATTTGATAACTTTTTTAAAAAGAATATTTGTTTTGAATTGTGAGAGGTTTTTTTTTTTTTTTTTTGGAGAGGTTTTTCACTATAGGGCACGTGCGCTCACCAGACAGAGAGAGACATAGAGACAGAAAGCGAGAAATCAACCCCCAGGGGGGATGGTCACACTGCAATCCCTTCTCCTCCATTTTCCTCTCGGGATCTTGGGCACGCACGCACACACGCCTGGCGTGAGTTTTAAGCCACCGGGTCCAGGACGCGAACCGCGGTTGACTACGTGGGAGTCCAGCGACATAGCCATTACACTAACTGCTGGTTCCAATTCTGAGAGTTTTTACACTGAGAAGTGAAACAAAATTTTAATAGATTTTGTAAGGAGTGACTGAGTACTGTCAAGAGTTTATAGGTTTTATAAGGCATCTGTCTTACTGACTACATAAAAACCTAAGTTGGATAATGTAGTCTTAATCTAATTTTTTTTTTAAATTTAGACCTTTTGATCATTTAATTAAGGATAGAATCTAGTGGGGAAGAAGTCTAACTAGAGGGAAAAAGGAGTACAAGAAGGCAGGAAGGGATGAAGCAGGAGGCATTCTAGTCTTGCCTCACCCCATTTTTTGAGACTTTTATTCTATTTAGTTTTTGGACAGGAGTTTTTAGTTTTTGTCTCTGATATATAGGCCAAATTTTTACTAGCTGTCTATGTTTATTTTTTTAAATCTCACCTTGGGAACTTTGATATTTTTTGGAGGCGTTATTAAGCTTGTAAAAATAGAATTACATATATTTACATATGTTGGTAGTTTATAAACATGTATAAACAAACAACAATAGTAACAAAATTTGTTTTAAGCACTTTTTTCATGTAAAACTGAGCAATCTAACAGACCCTTTTAACTTTATAAAATTTAAAAACTAACAATAGGAATAGCTAAAGTATGTTAACTTAATAACAAGAATTATAAGAAGGACTCAGAGAGAAGCAGGCAGTAATGTTCTCACAAGTCTATGTTTAACATTGGATTTATATTTTTTATATTTTATTTTTTAAATTTAGGTGTATTGTATTGGCTATTTAACATGTAATTTTGTCAAACATTTTTTATTTTTATTTTTTGGTCAATTTTGGCTTAAAAGTTTAGAAAACAATTAGTTTAAACAGAAAATGAAATTTTTATCCAGTTAAATGATTAAATTCTTAGAAACCACTATTCGTAAGAGTACTTTTTTTTTTTTTTTGAGTTTTTTATTTTTTGCTATAGGGTGTGTGCGCTTGCCAGAAAGACAGAGAGAGAGAGAGACAGAGAGACCAAAAGTGAGAAATCACCCCCTGGGGGGATGGCCACGCTGCAATCCCTTCTCCTCGATTCTCCTTTCAGGATCTTGGGCATGCACGCACAAGCACCCGGCGTGAGTTTAAGCCACCGGGTCCGGGACTCGAACCACGGTCGACTACATGGGAGTCCAGCGATATAGCTATCATGCCAACTACTGGTCCCAAGCAGTCTTTTCTATAGGGTGCAGTTACCAAAGGTTTCTATGCAAGCAATTACAGAAGCTGAATCAAGTGGTTAATTATTTCTGAGGACACTCTCTAGACCTTTGTTTAATGGTCTCTATGGCTCCAGACAGCGGTCTGGTGATTAATAGTTATATTGTTAAAGAATAACT